TTGAATGGAGGCTTTCCTAGAACAAGCTAATAGAAGTATCTCTCAAACCAGACCCTTTCCTGAGCAGAGGGGTTTGAACTCAAGGCTTCAGTGAACCAGTTCCACCTACTCAGAATTCAGAGCCCAGAATCTTCTCTTAAAAGCTGGCATCTTCATCCATGCTTTTGAAGAATAAAGGTGTCTTTGGTGAGAAATGCCTTTTAGATTGTTGCTGAGTGATTACTGATCCAAAAGTGGAAGGTCCAGTTTCAATGCCCTCGTTCACAAATCCCTTCCCTGTGGGTGGTGACAGACATAGATTTAAGTCCATTCTTCAGGCTGCAAGAAGAATGTTGTATCTGGTTTCCCACTTTTAAATGAGTGCTGTGACCACAAGATTGGTATCAAAGGTGAATGTCCATCAGGTCAGGCACCTAATTTCTGCATCCAACTCGTACATCACACCAGTACTGAAATATTCCAGTTTAGACTGTGATGGGAATGTGAAGACCCCTAAAAGCCAAAGGACCTGTAGTCAAGCAGGGTTCCACAGCAGCTTTGCTTCTCTAATGTTGGGGGCAACTGAGCAGGGTTTTCTTAAGATCAAAATTTTGAAGATAGGCATCTCAATTTTATTTAGGGCCTGTTTTAGATTTATCAGTCTTTTAGCAGAACAAGCCATAAGTCATCCAGAGCATAGCATATCTGCAGTATCATACATAGGGTATTAAGTATATTCTCTATAGTGCTGCACAGATATATCTGACATGCCAACTTCATCCATCACTATTTTGTTAAGGCAGCAACAGAGCATCAGGTTGTTAATGGAAAAGTTGCCTGGGGTAGTTATTCTGATGGTTTAGAACAGGGGTGCTCAACTTCTAACCCTCAGAGATATGTCATCTACCTTGCAGGGCTCCACCCAGGTCCCAAAATTCACCCCTGTGGGCTGGATAGTGGATGCCTGATTTAGCATGCAGGGCCACAAGGTAGCCTGGAGACCAAGGGCCTGGCTCTGGTGTTAAGGACACCAGGGCCTGATCCCTGTGTGTGGAGCCTGATCCTAACATAAGAGAAGCAGTGTGGGACATCAGAGCCCGATCCTGGCATTTGTGGGTGGTGCAGGGCCCAATTGCAGTGCACAGGGCAAATCTACGTTATAGGCCCAGCCACACACGGCCAAAAGGTTGAGCACCAGTGGTTAATGGCAATATAGGACTTATAGGTCTTTTAGGAAACAGTTCACCCCAACTCCATTGAGATGATCTGCCCTGCTATTTTTTTTTTTTCTCTCCAAACTTCAATCCAAGAGAGCAGTTGTTAAAGACTCTGCAGTCTACAGATGACGACTCAAGGCAGTGGAAAGGAAGAGCAAGCGTGAAGGATGGGATAAGAAAAAAAAAACAATTAAAGATTCAAGTCTGCATGCAGCTGCTCTGTACTGTTTTGTGCATACTTTATGCACATTAAAAATAAGCTACCTTTCAGTGAAAGTTGTGCAATTTCATTCAAGCAAGTAGTTAGTCTAAAATAACCGATACACGTGTTCTGAAAAGAGTATTTTTAGACTGAGCATCTTGGGCCACATTCTCACTATCACCTAGAACTATGAGGTTGTATTTTTAAAAAGTGCTATATTTTTCATGCAAAGTTCCCCTCCCTCCCTCCTCTTCCAGTACCCATACAGAAAACAGGAGTTAACATCATCTTAACCAAGAACCTGTCTTTGTCTTGTAATACTGCTGGCTTTGGAAAGAAAACTACATCAGCTCACATGTAATCAAGTTTAATGTAATGCTTCTCCCGCCACAAACTACTCCTCCCCACCCCCGGTAAATAATGCAATATTCCCCCTCCCCACCCCGCATTAGAATCCTAATGGAATTTATGCAGCGCACACTAAAATTCACTGCTGTGCATAAGGATCTAAGAGTAAAATATGCTAGAAACTCAGGACCATATCTAGAAAAGGATTTAGACATCTAAAGATATTTTCTTCAATGATGTTTTAGGTAATTAAGAAAGACAGGTGCCTGAATTCATTCATTTTTGGCTGAGGCCATACCAGCACATGAATGTGAAACTTGTTAATTTATTTTCATATTTCAAGCTAAAATACACAGCAGTGGCAAGTTAAAATCTTGACTTTTAACAATCTAGTTTTGCTTTTAAATAGTGTTTAAAAATGAAATAACCCGATAAAGTGTTTGTATTACTCTCATAAAGAGAAATGAAGTGTGTCCTTTTGAATCCATACCTACATTACCAATATTTCCCAGCAACAACAGACCACTGTCACCTTGAGATGCCTCCTCAAGAACAGACATGCAGAGATGCCTGTAAAATGAAGTATTACTTCTGTATTTCAATTCCTTTTCTACCCCAACTATCATATCTATGAATATTAGATGCAAAGCCTTTTCTTCATAATATGCAAAGCTCCCAGCAACTTTTCTCCTTTGTTTGTCAAGGTCTTTCCTTTTAGCTAACCATCCATGGTTAAGCTTGAGCCTCTTGCAGAGCTCTGCCCAAAACTGCTTATTTTTTGTTTAGCTATTTTGTAAGGTTGCTGGCTGATGCCAGATGTCAAGCCCTGAGCCAAAACAACCTGGCTCTAGTCTGTCACAGGCTGGGTAGCTTATGCAATACATTAGTGGCAGGGGGCTTTTCCTGTGCCTATGCTGAGGCCAGGTAACTGGGAGCTGCGCCTGCACTGCTTCTCCCAGCCCCCTGCTCTCTGGCTGGGTGCAAGCAAGTTCTAGCCAGTGGCTGCCCACACCAGGGCCAGTCAGCTAGAAGCTGCGTTCACACTTCCGCCGCTTCTCCCTGCATCTGTCCCAACCTCCCCCACTACTAACTAGCAGCTGGAAGCCAGCTGCTATGTCCACACTGCAACCTTGGAGATGGAAAAGTGGCTCCATGGACCAGGTCCAGCTCACAGGTTATGTTGCAGACCTGTGCTTTAAAATGACAAGGACACCACTCCCTGCACTGAACAGGGATTTGTATAGTAGACCTATACTTTCTGTGCATGGCCTTGGTAAAATTATACAAGCAGATACTTAAATTTAAGAACAAAGTTAAGACTCGAGTGAAAATCCTAAGTGCAAAGAAGCTGAAATCCCCTTCCGTTACTCACATTTGTTGGCCATCTCCAATGACAGCATAGGGCAAGTGTTCAAGATCATTTCATGGAAGCGTTATAAACTTTGAAGTGTTGAATACTTTTAGAGAGAGTTTATGGAACAGGTCAATAGATTTAATTGGACAGCTAACATATGCTCTGGCACCCTACTTGATCTCCCTTGCACAATACAAACTACAAGCCACATACACCTAAGGTACATTTAGCCAATGATTGCTGATTTGCCTAAGGGCGTTTTCAGTTATTTGATAGTAGAATGACTGCAAGACTACTCACCTCCTGATAGAATCCTGTTTATAATAAGATTGTTAATGAGCTAAAGTGACTCATAAGAATTTCCATCTTTACAAAATTCCATGTGGAAGGGTGGGAGTCAAATCAGGAATTACATACTATAAAACAGAGCCATGACAGATCATACTACCCCAGGGGGGAGCTAGGTTTTTTTGGCAGGTGAACCACACAGTATGCCTTGCACCCTCTCAGAGGGCTACTCCAATTCCCTTCCCAAACAGCCACATCACACACATAGGCTGCCCATGCCACTTGTGCTGCAGTTAGCCACCCCACTCTATCCTATTTTGATAAACTTTGTATTAGGTAGTACCAGTAATGTTCCATTATGTTACATTTCAAGAGAAACAAAAATGAGAAATCCTCTTCATATACATGGTTTACAATACTAGTAAAACAAAAGTATTAGTTTAGAAAGGCAAACTACAGGTTGCATTTTTTGTTATTGAATACTACCTGTAATTCATTATAATATATTGAATGGCTCCTGACAAAAGAAAATTGTCTCAAATTCAGAGACTAGTAAGACAGAGTTAAGTTTGCCTTAGAATAAGAAAAAAAAAAAAAAAGAAAAAAAAAAAAAAAACCACAATAATTAAATACTTAGTGACACAGGCATTCAGAAGCTCTACAGGCTTTTAAAACTGCAATAAACTTTGTAGATGTCAAAATATAGCAATATAATGAAACAAGCGATTAGACAAGCTTAGATTTAAAGTAAGGTTTTACAGTTACAGAAGAAAGTCCTTAGAGCTAAAAAAAGTGAACATAAGCAGCCATATTAGATTCACAGAGTTGTGAGCTTGTAAGTGAATGTATATTTAAGCTTCTGAAGAAGTAATACAGCTTTAAGGTATGTGGTAACCAAAGCTACTAGAAGTGCAAAGTTCCCTGCAAAGCACCCAGTGGTCCCATTACAGTTGAAATAAAGAGCTAGATGGCTTCTTTCCACATTCTCTAGAAAACTGGGAATACGTTCACAACCAAATTGCTTTTTCCTGCATCTTCTGAACTGTTGCCACCCCTCACCCAATGATTTATAATGACTGTATTGACACATGTTAGCAAGAAAAAAAAGTGAGGCACTGAAAGCTCTTCTTGCAACTAAACAATAAAAAAAAAAAACAACCCAACTGTTTGGGATAGTACAAAGTGTTTGTGCAATTAAAGTGGATGAGTGGTTTGAAAACAGTTTCCCAAAGGAAATGAGTGACAGTGATTCAGCCAGATGAGCTAGTACAAGAAGCACAATACATGGCTAGGTATTTACTATCACAGAATAAAATTTAGTTTATTACGAAGACAAATTTTAAAAAAGCAACATTGCTAAAAATTAGTACAATTTAAGTTTGTAATAATTTCCCCAAATACAGATTTACTTAAAGAAGTGAAATTAAAATAGCTTCTTTTCAGCTATCTTCACTTCTAGTGATTCCATCCAGTTTCAGAATGAAACTCTGATCTTTACTATCATGATAAAACTTGAGTAAATAGTTTAAAATGTATATACAATACATTCACAAGAACCTTTAACAACTGAAAGCAGAGAGCAAAACTATCATGTCCCTGCTCTTTCATGGCTTTAAAAGGGAGTTTAAGTTTACCTTCCAGTGAGATTTTCAGGAAATCTGCTTATTTGGCTTACACAGTAAGCTATTCTTGTGCATTGTGTTCTGGATAAGGCTGAATTTTAAAACATTACACAAGGTTATGTTACATTTTTCTCTTTACACAACGCTGATAAGTAATGTGTGCTTTTATAAATACAAATTAATACTATAATGTTCCATGTACAGGTGCTGGTTGGTTCTGTTAGCCAGCCATCCACAAGATAAATGGAATAAAGATAGTGGGCAGGGTGGTAGATGGTGCCAGACCTAGGCACATGATAGATGCCAGTCCCAAGAGCACCGAAACAAGAATGCTCCTCTGGTCCCGAATGATCATCTTCAGTGTTTCGCAGAGCTGCAGAAGTCAAAGAGTTCAATAGGGTTAAAGTAAGGAAAAGCACTAGGGAAGAAATCAGTCTACTGGATTCTCTGTACAGGGACAGAGTTTCAGGGGTGGGGAGGCGAGGGGTACAGGATCATAGAAAATAAGGATTGGAAGGGACTTCAGGAGGTCATCTAGTCCAGCTCCCTGCTCAAAGCAGAATCATCCCAGCCAAGGCTTTGTCTACCTGGATTATAAAAAACCTTCAAGGATGGAGATTCTACCACCTTGCTGGGCAGCCTGTTCCAAACAGTTGACAGAGTGAAAAAACAGATACAACCATGCAGGTCTTTACCTGATGGAAGCCCTTAGGAGCTTGACTACCACCTTGCCAGGGCTGCAGCATCAGGATCCCAAAAGGACAAGTTTAGCTTCCCTGCCAATGGGGGCTCTACCTGCCTCCTCAACCCCTGGGCACCTGCTTTACTTACCAACAGGTCCTGCCAACAGAGGACACATTCACCTGGAGCCTACTGGCAGGACCCACCCCCCAAAAAACAAAACAACAAAAACCTGGAGTCCTGTAGGCCCTTCTCCTTCAGCCCACAGCTTTCAGCCTCCAGACTATGCTTTCAGGGCTCGTGTCTGTGTAGAGCTGGTGACTAGAGAGGTGACCAGAGTAGGGCTGCCAACTCTTTGAATCTAATCAAAGATCCTGATTTTCTCTGGTTAAAAAAAAAAAAAAGTCCCCAATTTTTGGTTAAAAAAGTAACCCCAAATCCACATTTTTTTGTGAATAGATAGAAGTTCATATCTATCTCTCCATCTAATTTGGGGTTACCTTTCAGGTGAAAGTAGGGGATTTGTTTAAAGTCAGAGAATGCCAGGATCCCTGGAATGACATTAAAGACTTTACATCAGGAAGGCAAATGCACATGTCTATTACATTTTAAAAACCCACTGGCCTACTATACACGCCAGATTCAACATTTAATATTTATTTTAATGAAAGCCCTTAGCATTTACCCCCCCCCCCCCCCCCGGTGACTCTCAGCAGTCTCCTGGAGATGGATTTCCAATTCCTGGAGGCTCCAGGGCCATCCTGGAGGGATGGCAAGCCTCTTAGAGAGGTGCGTGCAGCCGGGCTGGGACCTGAAAGGGTTTGGAAAGGCAGAGGCACGGGGCAGAGCTTGGTGCTGCCAGGCCTGGCTGGTCCGCCCGAGGGGAGGGGAAGAAAAGCAGCGCGTCCTTCCTTCTCTTGCGGGCGGCCGAGGGCACCCCCCTGCTACTACCTTGTCGGTCTGCAGGCTGGCGGCCGCGCCGTAGCGGCAGTGGGTGACGAAGTGCTCGCAGTTGTTCCAGAGCAGGCTGTAGGGCCAGGCGCCCAGCAGCCGCTCCGCCCGGCCCGCCACCTCCTCGGCGCCCAGCGCCGGGCTCTTGAGCAGCGCGTCCAGGCTGTTGACGTGGATGCTGGCGCCGTAGGCGAAGTCCCGCACCGTGTCCACGCGGATGCTGGCCACCTTGGCCAGGACGCCCAGCAGCAGGCGCGCGTTGGTGACGGCCCGGCCCAGGTGCCGCGGGTCGGCGGTGAGGGCGGGCAGGATGTCCGGCATCAGGTGCGCCACGCGGTTGTCACCCAGGTAGATTCCGTAGTGCGTGAAGAGAGTGCGGGG